CTGTCCTGTCCTTTTTCTTTAGCATGGTCTCTGGTCCTCTGGGGTCCAGGTTTTGACAGTTCCAAGGCACTGGAGCTTCCTCTGCATCCTAGCGAGTCCCATGTGCTTTTCAGGCTGCCATGATGGCTGAGGAACTAAAGAAGGAACAGGACACCAGCGCCCACCTTGAGCGGATGAAGAAGAACCTGGAACAGACAGTGAAGGACCTGCAGCACCGTCTAGATGAGGCCGAGCAGCTGGCCCTGAAAGGCGGGAAGAAGCAGATCCAGAAACTGGAGACCAGGGTGTGTGCAGGAGGAACCCCACCCGCACCGAGCTTTTTAACCTCCCGATCATGCTCCAGCCCCTGACTCATATCCCCACCCTCTCCCCCAGATCCGAGAGCTGGAGTTTGAGCTTGAGGGGGAGCAGAAGAAGAACACAGAGTCTGTTAAGGGCCTGAGGAAGTATGAGCGGAGGGTCAAGGAGCTGACGTACCAGGTAAGTGGAAAGTAAATGCCATGATCGTGTCCTCTGTGACGTGCAAATGCCACTCCAGATTCTCCACCAAACTATGGGAAGAAACACTTTAGCCCAGAAAGCTGCCCATGCCATGTGCAAATCTGCTGCCTCTTCTCCAGTGACATTCCCATTTTCTCATTCTTAGAGTGAAGAGGACAGGAAGAATGTGCTGAGATTGCAGGATCTGGTGGATAAACTACAAGTGAAAGTCAAGTCCTACAAGAGGCAGGCAGAGGAGGCTGTAAGTGACATAGGTGCTGACTGCTGCACGCAGGCTGGGCTGTTTCCCATGGTGAGTTCTGAGAGAGGTGCATGCTGATCTAACCTGCCTTGGCTCTTTGGTTTTAGGATGAACAAGCCAATGCTCATCTCACCAAATTCCGAAAGGCTCAGCATGAGCTGGAGGAGGCCGAGGAACGTGCGGATATTGCAGAATCTCAAGTCAACAAGCTCCGCGCTAAGACTCGAGACTTCACCTCCAGCAGGGTGAGTCGCTAACCTGGGAGGAGCCCCCCCAGGGACTGTAGAAGCTTCTGAGCTGGAAGGGACCTCAGAGAACCCTTTACTTTAGAGGTGGGGAGTCTCAAGCTCAGGAAGAGAAAGTGCTTAAAGTCACTTAGCTGACCGGACCCTCGCTAGAATCCAGGTCTGTGAGTCACAGTAAAAACCACCATCCTGCACATGTACACCATGGAGCCATAAAAAAGAATGAGATAATGTCCTTTGCAGGGACATGGATCAAGCTGGAAGCCATCATTCTCAGCAAACTATCATAAGGACAGAAAAACAAACACCACATGTTCTCACTCATAACTGGCAGCTGAACAGTGAGAACACATGGACATAGGGAAGGGAACATCACACACTGGGGCCTGTCAGAGGGTGGGAGCCAAGGGGATGGAGAGCATTAGGACAAATGCCTAATGCATGCAGGGCTTAAAACCTAGATGACGGGTTGACAGGTGCAGCAAACCACCATGGCACATGTAAACCTATATAACAAACCTGCACGTTCTGCACATGTATCCCAGCAAAACAAACTGCCATCCTGAAAACGAGTGAGCGGGTCCCACTGAGCGCTCTCACGCGCCCCCTGCTGGTAATAAAAGGCTGCTGCAGGAGGCTCCTCCAGAGTCCGCTGAACACAGGGCATCAGACAGTAGGTCGCTGGCTGTCCAGCATTCGGGGCTTGCTCTTTCGTAGGGCCAGTTTCTCAGGCTATGGGGTGACTTCGTGTGTGCAATCGTGCATTTTCCCAAGGTCCAAAAAATATCCTGTGTCCCATTGAAGTAGGCAAGCAATTCTCTGATGCCAGCCGGCGAAGCGGTGGGGTGGGAATGTGTCTCTGCCACCCGACTTAACTCCAGGTGCCTACTTTCTTCCCAGATGGTGGTCCACGAGAGTGAAGAGTGAGCCAGCGGTTCCGGGGCAGGACAGAAGATATGCAAAATGTATATTTTCTTGGTTCCTGACCATTGATACTTAATGTCCATGTGACTCCTTTTCACATGCAATAAACTTTGCTTTAATTTCAATCTGGGGCTGTTTCACCATATTTGTTTTCTTCTTTCCCATGCAGAAATGGTTCCTAGTTTGATGGTTTGTATGGTCAGAGGTGAAATCCTGGTAAGCAGATGGCCCGGTAAATTCAACCGGTGTGTGCATATGTGGAGGGAGAGATGGCTTTTGGCTTAAATCAAAAAGGAAAAAAAAAAAAAAGCCTTCTGGATTAACCTTTGCTTTGGTGGGGAGTGGGAGGCACAGCTTTTCAAAAGAGTCATCTCTTAATATGACATGAAGGGAACACACAGGTAGGCTCATGAAAAGCCCTTGTCTCGAGTTGAATAGGGTTATAAAGCAAAGGCCCACATTCCCCTTCTTTACATTCTACTGGGGAAATACATCTGAAATCTAGTAAATATTTGTTGTTCATGCAAGTACCGTGCTATCAGGAATACACAAATGAATAAAAAAGAGGCTGGCCCCTTCAATGTCTCAGTCTACATCTACTACTGTTATCTTAGCTCAGTGTGCACTATTTCAAAGCTGCACAACAGAAAATCCCACCCCTTACCCAAGATAATCTTGTCCTTACCTTAAGAGGGAAGGAAGGCAGGAAGTCAGATAACCATCTGGTTGACTTGCTACTAGAAAGAGCATCTTCTAGCCTGGGATCCTTTGTTTATTGTCATCATTTAATTTATTAGCAATAGTTGTCAAGTTCCTTTCTTTGATTCCACAAGATTAGGGAACCTAGTTTGACTCACGTGAGAATGAAAGGCCAACGGTGCTCTCTCCAGATGTGGGGGAACTCAACAAATCATTTAGCTTTTTCAATAAATAAATTGCAAAGAAAAAAAAATAAAACAAATAGAAAGGGGACCTGTAGATTAAAAGACACTTAGTGGACCTATCCACCAATTGCACTGTGTGGACCTTGTTAGGATACTGCTTTGTACAAACACGCTGTTAAAAAATACACACACACACACACACACACACACACACAGTCCAACTGGTAAATTTGAAAATTGACTGGATATTGTTGGTGATATGAGATTATTGTTCATTTTAAGGTATAATGTGATATTGTGATTATGCTTTCTAAGACAGTCCTTATATTTTAAAAATATGTGGTAAAGGTCACACGTGGTGGCTCACGCCTATAATCCCAGCACTTTGGGAGGCTAAGGTGGGCGGATCACGAGGTCAAGAGATCGAGACCATCCTAGCCAACATGGTGAAACCCCGTCTCTACCAAAAATACAAAAATTAGGCGTGGTGGTGCTCACCTGTAGTCCCTGCTACTTGGGAGGCTGAGGCAGGAGAATCGCTTGAACCTCGGAGGCGGAGGTTGCAGTGAACTGAGATCATGCCACTGCACTCCAGTCTGGTGACAGAGTGAGACACTGTCAAAAAAAAAAAAAAAAGTGGAAAAATACATACACACCAGAAAGGAAGAGTAAGCGAGAGATCTTTGAAGTAAACTTATTTTACAGAATTTAAGACTTAATAAAAGAGGCCCCTGATGCATTTTATGCAGAACTGGGGTGCCTCTGAACTTGAAAATATCTGGGATCGTGGGACCCCTTGTGTCCACTTATTGGCAAAGTATGACATTTCCCACAAAGGAGAAGGTGTGGAGTTTGGTGCTGGAAGCGACCTATGACGATCTCTTCTAGGCTTTGATTTTGTGAAGGATATAAATGAAAAGATTCCTTTTCTAAGAGTGAATATTATGACCAAAGTCACCAGTGTTCATTTATTCCATCAAAAAAGGATGCCCACGACTATAGAAAATGTAAGCTGTGTTACTAAGAAGAGAAAAATGAAAGCACCAATTACATTCCAAATCAGGAACCGCTGTGCCGCACGAGCCGGGGAGGGGTCTCCTCCCACCATGGAGAGGAGGAGGATGAGATCAGCCACTATTTACTGACTGACTCTATCCGTGTGCACTTGGCATGCACTCCCTCGTGACCTCAGCACGCAGACTCAGCCATGAGGAGAGGGACCTTATCAACCCTGCATTACAGATGAAGACACGAACCACTGAGTGATTTGTTTCAGGTCAAAATGGCAGAGCTGGGATTCTCTCTGGATCCTAAGACTCCTTTACCCTACAAGGTACTAACCTTTTATCAGGGCAGCTGGCCACATAGACAGGTGAAATCCCTCAAAGAGCTGGAGCACAGGGTACAGCTGTGTTGAAACTGGGCTGATAGAACCCAAAGTGTACTTCGTGTTTTCTTTTCGATGATGGACTGTTTCTGTTAGCGTCCACCAGGTGTTTCTCTGTAACCCTCCTCTTGTCCACCACCTCAGCCCACCCCATCCTCAGGGAGACTCTCTTAGGACAGGACCTTCGGCCATTCAGTAGGAACTTAGGTGACTTTAGCTCATTTGCAACATCCACCGGCTCTTTCGTACATGGGCTCCAGGGCAGGGTGGCAAAAGAACGAAGGGCGCCTTGAATCTCACTTTTTTTGGGTGAGCCTCTCCAAATTAAGGGCCATTTCTTATATTTTTTATTTTCATTGAGAAGGAGTCTCGCTCTGTCACCCAGGCTTGAGCGCAGTGGCAGCGATCTCGGCTCGCTGCAACTTCCGCCGCCCGGTTTCAAGCAATTCTTGTGCTTCAGCCTCCAGGGTAGCAGGGACCACAGGCACACGCCACCAGGTCTGGCTAATTTTTTTGTATTTTTAGTAGAGACGGGGTTTTGCCATGTTGGCCAGAATGGTCTCGAACTTCTGACCTCAGGTGATCCACCCGCCTCGGCCTCCCAAGGTGTTGGGATTACAGGTATAAGCCACCGCACCCAGCCATTAAGGGCCATTTCTAATTACTTTTCCCTTTCATAAACAGCTTGCTTTTTCTCTTTTATTCTTTCTTTCTGGTGTTGGGGTATGGAATGTATTAACCTTCTCCCTGTAATCCTCATGCTATCTGGAAATCTCTGGCTTTCTGAATTTTTTATTGAGTCTTAAATCTCTTAGCAGTGGCTTTGTATTTTTTATTACTTTTATAATTTTTTAATTACACAAGAAATACACGGCCAAGCACAAGATTAAAAAAAAAAAAATCTGTCAACTATAAAAGGACCGCCAGCAAGGAGGGTAGACTCTTTCTTTATTTGGAACAGCTGAAGTCTTGATTTATGGTTGGCAGATGGCCCCCTTCTTAAGGACATGTGAGGGACACAGTTTCTAATAGCAGTAACATGTCCTTATGGGGGAAAACTAGTTGCAGTTTGCAGCCCGCCACCAGCTGGTGAGGGCGGCCTTTCATTTCTCCACGCCTGGCTCACCCGACAGCTGAGAGCTTTAATAAAACAAGTGTGCCTAGGAATGTGGGGTGAGCGAGCCACTCAGAACACAGATGTCTTTTTACACCCCTATCAATAATCCCAGTGCTAAAAACAACAGCGGCTGGGAGGTTCTGAGGCTGCTTGCTGGATCTGAGCGGCGATCCGGTTACCCTCAGCCATGCCCAGACATTCTGGAGGCGCTCATGCCCCAACTGCAGGCCATCCGGAGCCAGGGGATGGCACAGATTGTTTTTATCTAAGATGTTTCATGCTTGCCAAGGTAGTGAGGAGCAAGAACTCCCAACTCCTGGGCTTTGATGAGTCTTCTTCGGGTGACGTTAAACGGGACATGGTCCTTGTTCAAAGTCCTGGGGAGATTTAGGAGGGGATGATAGACACCCTTAGGCGGCCTTCATGGGGAAGCCTGCAGCGAGCTTGCTGAGAGAAGGGGCAGCTTAGGTAAAGCACAGGGAGAGGTGTCATTGACAAAGGACTCCTCAGTGACTCAGGGATAATGGAGACAAGGTAAGGTGAAGCCTCACACCTCAAGGAAGGTAAAGGAAATAAAACTTCCCCAATAATAGTGATGAAAGAACACAACCAAACCAAGCCCATAGGGATCCTGCATGATAGAGGACGGTGACAGGGTGGCACGCTTTTATAGTCAGAGAACCAAAGAAAGCCCATCTTTTGGATTGAGTTCCCAGCAGGAAAAGCCAAGTGTTGGGGCAATCTGTGTGGCCTTGGGGAAAACAAATTCTTTCTCTGTTGACTTTCTGCCTCCACAATTCGGTAATAAAGAGAGAATAATAAGGCAGAAGTGATTCCTGACAAATCTGTGAGCAACCCTGGCCATGAACTTGGTTTTCTTGGCCTGGGGAGTGGGGGTGGCTGTTTGCAATTTACACTGCTCAGAAGCCTGAAGAGAGGATCGAGCGTCCTGGCAAAGGCCTGGTGGGGAGGGATGCTGCCGGGCGAAGCCAGGACACCGTTAGCAAAAAGCCCAGGGCCAGCCAGAGCTTCCTGCTCCAAACTTGACTCCTAGAAATTTCAGATCTGTGTTTCCTTATACATGTATTCATGCATCTGTCATTTACCAACTGCCTATGACATGCCCAGGAACAGGGGATGGGAGAAGCAGAGGTACCCAAGAAAGACTGGGGAGAGGGAACGAGGAAAGAGCTCTTAAAGCCCGAAGGCTCCGAATGAGGATGGGAGGAGGGGATGGAGGGAGATGTATTTCCAAACATGACCCAGCCTCGGCTCCAGAAGGGTGAGAAGATCATCCATAGCAGCTGTGCCTATTTTGGGCCTGGGGTCTCTGTCCCAAGAGCAACAGGTGTTGAGACCTGAAAGACAGGTGCATGTTTATTTTGAGGGCCTCATGGCATCATTTCCAGAAACGAAGACTAGCTTTTCAATTCATTATCTCCAGCTAGAATCATCCAACGTCTTCCTTTTCTGCTTCCCTAGTGGCCCACCAGCCTGTGGCTATCGGAGCCTGCCTCATCACACGGGCGCACCGAGGGGGACGTGCAGGTTTCCGGGAAGGGGAGAGGTTTGGGCTATGTGACCGTCTCTGGACTGGTGAGGGGTAAAGTACACATTCTCCTCTCAACCACATCCCCCTCCTGAGAAGGCCACAGAGGAGAAAGTCAAGTCAGGAAGGAAGGAAGACAACGAGGTGGATACAAGCTGGCCTTCTCTTGCCACCCCACCCCAAGGTGGGTACCCCAGCACCTGTCTGTGCTGACGACGGAAGGACAACAGCAGCCACTCGCAGAGAATTCTATCTAAACACAAGCATAACTTCCAGCACTCTTAGGGAATGCTATCTAAACATGAGTATAATTTCCAGCTCTGTCCCACGAGGTAGGCAGAGGCCATGAGCTTTCAGACGTGATGTTCCCTGTTGAAAAGCAGATTAAAAGGACATGAATTTTTACCTTTTTAAGTGACTTGCTTTTAGCCCCACAGTAAATCCCGGCCGTGTCCCAGTCTTGCATGTAGTGAGTGATCCATAAACACACACTGATTACACTGGATGTGGCCACAGTTGATCTCCCATGGCCAAGAGCACACAGCCCCGTGGGGCTCACTCTTACCCTTTGAGAATGAGGGGTCATTTTCTCTGGGAAGACCAGTACTTCAATGGCAACCTCAGCAGGTCCTGTTGCCAGCAGAGGGAGCCCTCAACGGGGTGTCTTCTGGTCACCTGTTTCTTCTCCCCGCTCCTTCTCCTGTGCCCACCTTAGGGAGGGGTCAGATCAGATACCAGCCCCAAACCTGGAATGGGTGCAGCAACGAGGGACCCCAAACTTCTCACCCCCAGAACAGCTCTACAAGCTGGGATTTGAATTCCTGGCTCACAGCCCAGGGGCCTTTCCACTGCTTGCCTGCTCAGGGCTGAGCACAGAGTCAGGGTTCATTCCACCCTGGTTTCCTCCCAGCCTTCTTCTTCAAGTTCTGGCTTGCGTTGTAATGCTGAGAATCCACTGCCTTCATGTCACTGTCTGAAATACGGGAGTGGAGATGAACATGAGCTTTTCTGTTTGTTTTGGTGGTTCTTGCCACCTCTGTAAGGAAATATTAATACTAGGTCTGTAGTTTAAGTCATCCTGTGTTGCTGAGTTAAAAAGACAGTGTGAATAGTAAGTGTTACAGAAAAAGGAAGAAGCAGTTTTGGGCAGTCTCTTCCTGCATGTCATGGCTCAATTGAAACCACTTTTTGGCTTGTAAAGGCTGGCGATATGAAGATCTGGCGAGCTGGGGTACACATGGTTCAGCAGCCATTTGGCCCCAAAGTGTGTAGTGTTCAAGACAATGTCACAGCTGAGTCCATTCAAGTTAGTTAATACTGCTTAGTCATCCTTAATCAAGCCTATTTGAAACACAACTCTGACCGGTCACTGCTCTCCCCAGACACTGTCAATGCCCCGCCCGGCCCACCAACAGTTTGGTACACTTGCCTCACATGGATATTGGCTTTTTTTTTTTTTTTTTTTGAGACAGAGTCTCGCTCCACTGGAGTGCAGTGCAGTGGCGCTATCTCCACTCACTGCAACCTCTGCCTCCTGGGTTCAAGCGATTCTCCTGCCTCAGCCTCCCAAGTAGCTGGGACTACAGTAGGTGCGCACCACCACACCCAGCTAATTTTCGTATTTTTAGTAGAGACAGGGTTTCACCATATTAGACAGGCTGGTCTCAACTCCTGACCTTGTGATCCGCCCGCCTCAGCCTCCCAAAGTGCTGGGATTACAGGCGTGGGCCACCACGCCCAGCCTCCTCAGATGGATACTCAACCTGGCCTTCCACCTGTGCCTGCAGACATGGCTCCCCTTTGCTACTCCCGCCCAGCCACCTCCCCTCGAAATCTTAACACACCTCAGGCTGTCTTGGTCCTCCCCACCCACCAGTGGTTACGCCCCTATCCTTTGTGCACCTTTTTAGGGGCATTTTAAAAAACTCCCTCTACTCTCCCTGAGTAGCAGTCACGACTTACGCCGTCTTACTTACCTTTGTTTGTATCACAGTTCCTATTCCCAATGCTTTGTATTTTCAAAGCTACACACACACAGTCGTCGGAGGAACACTCAAGTAGGAATGAGAAAATCTGGGTTTCAGTCTTAACTCCTTTCAGTTTCTTTCACAATCTTTGTCATCTCAGTCTCCAGGTTTCTGGTTACTTACTTGAAAAAGGAGAGGTCTGAACTATTTTAAGGGTTTCTAAACCTAGCTGGGCATCAGCATTGCCTGGTTTACTTTTTTTTTCTTTGAGATGGAGTCTCACCCTGTTGCCCAGGCTGGAGTGCAGTGGTGTAATCTCGGCTCACTGCAACCTCCACCTCCGGGGTTCAAGCGATTCTCCTGCCTCAGCCTCCTAAGTAGCTGGGACTACAGGCGCCCACCACCACACCTGGCTAGTTTTTATATTTTTAGTAGAGACGGGGTTTCACCATATTAGCCAGGCTGGTCTCAAACTCCTGCCCTTGTGATCCACTTGCTTCGGCCTCCCAAAGTGCTGGGATTATAGGCGTGAGCCACCATGCCTGGCTGCCTGGTTTACTTTTTAAAAAAATATTCAGAATTTAGGGCTGCACCGTTAGAGATTCTGATTCAATAGGTTGGGTTGGAGCTTGGGAATCTGCATTTATTTTTTTATTTTTTCTTTTTCTTTTTTTTTTTTTTTTGAGACGGAGTCTCGCTCTGTCACACAGGCTGGAGTGCAGTGGTGCTATTTCGGCTCACTGCAAGCTCCGCCTCCCAGGTTCATGCCATTCTCCTGCCTCAGCCTCCAGAGTAGCTGGGATTACAGGCGCCCACCACCACGCCAGGCTAATTTTTTGTATTTTTAGTAGAGACGGGGTTTCACTGTGTTAGCCAGGATGGTCTCAATCTCCTGACCTCGTGATCCGCTCGCCTCTCCCTGGTGATTCTAATGACCAGCCTAAAGGTAAACTTTTAGAGCAGTTGTTTTAAAAAGCAGATTCCTGGGCCCGAAGCCAGATCCACAAAACAGGAATTTCCAGAGGAGAGACTTGGTAACCTGCACAGTTAATAAGCCCCCAGGTGACTTTCATTGCAAAGCTTGCCTGGGAAATGCAGACCTAGATCCCTGCTACACAAAGTTTTCCAAAGACCAGCAGTATTGTGTTACCTGGCAGCTTGTCAGAACTGCAGAGTCTCAGACCGCTTCCTAGGCCACTGGATCATAATCTGCATTCTAACGAGATCCCTGGGTGACCGGCTGGCACAGCGGGGTTTGAGAAGCATGGCTCAAAATCAGTGATTCTCAAACTTGAACATGCCTCGGAATGCTCTGCAGGGCATGTTGAATGAAACCCACCTCACCAGACCACACCTTCCAGGTTCTGATTCTCAGGTCTGGAGTGGGGCTCAAGGTTTTACAGTTCTAGCAAGTTCCCTGATGATACTGATGCTGCTGGTCCAGGGACCATCCTTTGAGAATCAGACCCTGGAGGATTTCTCAAAACTCCATGTCCAAGAGTGAAATCTCTCCATTCTGTTTTTTGTTTGTTTGTTTGTCTGTTTTCTCTTGCTAATCTACTCTGGCACTCAGGCACTCATAAAATCCTATTCGCCACCCTAGTGTCTAAGATTCTGGGAATTAATTAACAGTATCACCAAGTGCTAAGCTGTTGGCACAGACAGCACTTGTTATAAAAGTTTCCAGAAAATCACAGTCTCGAGGCTGGGTGAGGACATCCACATGGAGAAGTCCTTTCCTCCTTCCTCTCCCTCGGATTGGATATCTGGTGGCCGGTGATGCTACTCCTGGGACTGTCATGTCCAAAGTGGCCAGGAGGCCAGGCGCGGTGGCTCACGCCTGTAATCCCAGCACTTTGGGAGGCCGAGGTGGGTGGATCACCTGAGGTCAGGAGTTCGAGACCAGCCTGGTGAAACCCCAACTCTACTAAAAATACAACAATCAGCTGGGCATGGTGGTGGATGCCTGTAATCTCAGCTACTCGGGAGGCTGAGGCAGGAGAATCACTTGAACCCTGGAGGCGGAGGTTGCAGTGAGCCAAGATCATGCCATTGCACTCCAGCCTGGATGACAGAGTGAGACTCTGTCTGAGAAAAGAAAGAAAGAAGAAAGAAAAGAAAGGAGGGAGGGAGGAAGGAAGGAAGAAGAGCGGGAAGGAGGGAGGGAAGGAAGGAGAGAGAAAGAGAGAGAGAGAGAGAGAATGAAAGAAGGAAAGTGAGCCACAACACCCTGCCATAGCTTTAAGACTTTAAAACCCAGTCTTGGCAGGGGTCGGTGGCTCATGCCTATAATCCCAGCACTTTGGGAGGTCGAGGTGGGTGGGTCATGAGGTCAAGAGATTGGGACCATGTTGACCAACATGATGAAACCCCATCTCTACTAAAAATACAAAAATTAGCCAGGTGTTGTGGTACGAGCCTGTAGTCCCAGCTACTCAGGAGGCTGAGGCAGGAGAATAGCTTGAACCTGGGAGGCGGAGCTTTCGGTGAGCTGAGATCGCGCCACTGCACTCCAGCCTGGCGACAGAGCAAGACTCCATCTCAAAAAAAAAAAAAAAAAAAAACTTCTCCCCACCGCAGCAATGTGGTTTGTGGTCCAGCATCTTGAAGGAGGCTGTTTTGTTGCTCAGAAGCTGATTTCTCACACCCGTCCCTGGAACTGGAAACTTGGGCACAAGTTCTGAAGAGTATGCAATCCACAGAGACAGAGGGTCTGTGCTGACCCTCCTGTTTCATAGATGAGGACAAGGAGGGGCGACTGCTTCCAGGTCACCCCATCTGCCTGTGGCTGTGCTAAGACTGTGCATGGGAATTTCCTGCCTGCCGGAAAAATCAGTCTCAGCAACACTGACTCTCACTTTCCTGCTCCTGCCTCATCTGTTCACGCAGCCTCCCTGCTGCCCCACCTCAGCGGACACCCGTGCAGCTGCCCAGGCAGAGGCTCGCGTGCTCCAGTGCTCTGGAAAACCCTCTCTCCCAGACCACTCCTGGCCCTCTCTGTTGCTCTGTCTGGCATCACCCTTCATGCCTTGGCACCAGAGCCTGCCACTAGGTGGCACTGCTGCTCTGCCAGGCATCCGGGTCTCCAGCCTGGCCTCACCCTGAGTGCTAAAGTTCTTGAGGTGCCAAAGCTGACCGGTGGCTCCTGCAAGGTGTGAGTGAAAAATAGAAGACTCCCTTACAGAAGTCCAGAGCCGTGCCGTGCCCCACCAGAGTAAAGGCAAGAGAAGTCATTTAGGCTCATAAAGGCAAGAACACCCATCCCGTCTTCATTGAAAACTTTGTTCATCATGGGTGTTTTTTGCACTAACCTCAATTTTAAAAAATATTGCAATACAATAGGATTAATTTTGATTACTGAGGGGTTTTTTGTTTGTTTTTGAGAGAGAGAGAGAGAGTCTCACTCTGTCACCCAGGCTGGAATGCAGTGGCGTCATCTTGGCTCACTGCAACTCCCACCTCCCAGGTTCAAGCAATTCTCCTACCTCGGCCTCCCTAGTAGCTAGGATTACAGGTGCACGGCACCACACCTGGCTAATTTTTGTATTTTTAGTAGAGACCAGGTTTCAGCATGTTGGCCAGGCTCATCTTGAACTCCTGACCTCAGCTGATCCACCGACCTTGGCCTCACAAAGTGCTGGGATTAAAGGCATGAGACACTGTGCCTGGCCTTGATTACTGAGGGTTTCTTGCAGTCCCCTTAGATTTTGAGCCTGAAGAGGGTGCCTCACTTGCCACCCTCTAGTCCTGGTGCAGGCCGCAGCAATGTGGTTTGTGGTCCAGCATCTTGAAGAGTTATGGCAATAGCTATTTTCTCTGTGAGATCCCAGTGCTGGGCTGGGGCAGATAGGAGGGCAGCCACCACGACTAGGGACAGAGGCGTTGGGCTGGATCAGTTCACTGTCGCTGGCTGGAGCCAATTCCCCGCAGGCCCCTTATTCTCCCTGTGAATCCCCTTCTGCCAGCCCATACCCTCAGGTCCCCAGAGAGTCCTGAATTCCAGAACTGCCCCTGCCTGGCCGCATACTAAAGCCACTGCTATTGAAAGAGAGAGGTCTCTGGCCCCCACCCAGCGTGTCACCCTGCTTTCTGGAGCACTCCCCTGCCCTCTGTGTGGCTGGAGTAAATTCACTTCCTGGGTGAGTTAAAGGCCTATAACTCCTTCACGGGCACTGTTTAAGCTCCTGTTTCTTCTCTCTCTCTTGTTTGTAGAGGGACCTATTTTATTTTATTTTATTTTGTCTCTATCTTAATGAGCTGGTATGTTTTGTAGCTTCTGGTGACATCTCTTTTAATGCTCCTACTTTCTCTCCGTGCGTTCAGTCTCCCCCTCCAGAGTACAGTGAAAAAAGATAAAGTGATACAATCTGCCCACCGAATCCACAGAAATGTCAGGGTCTAAGCACTCGGTCACTCCGAATCTTGGCTTACAGCCACCTGAGGAGCTTTCAAAAATCCCAATGCCCAGGTCCCACCCAAGACCGATTAAATCAGAATATCCGGAAGTGCAGCCCCAGGCCTCGGTAGATTGCAATACCCTAACTCTCCAGATGAAAACAATACCCGGCCAAGGGTGGGAACCAGCGCACCAAAAACAGGCCTGGCTTTTACAGAGCCAAGGCTGTCACCTGCAGGCAGGAGTGGGTACTGCAGCCCACTGGTAGGATCACAGACTGGGACAGCTGAACATCAAAGGCTTTCCTGGAGGGTGGGGTGCAATCACGACCCGCAGCAGCTTCAACCTCCCAGGCTCAAGCGATCCTCCTGCCTCAGCCTCTGGGACTACAGGTGCACACCACCATGCTTTTTGTTTTGTTTTGTTTGTTTGGTTTGGTTTTTTTTTCTTTGTTTGAGACGGAGTCTCACTCTGTCGCCCAGGCTGGAGTGCAGTGGCACGATCTCGGCTCACTGCGAGTTCCACCTCCCAGGTTCACGCCATTCTCCTGCCTCAGCCTCCCGAGTAGCTGGGACTACAGGCGCCCGCCACCACGCCCGGCTAATTTTTTTTTTTTTTTAATTTTTAGTAGAGATAGGGTTACACCGTATTAGCCAGGATGGGCTCGATCTCCTGACCTCGTGATCCGCTCACCTCGGCCTCCCAAAGTGCTGGGATTACAGGCGTGAGCCACCCCACCTGGCCGCATGCCACCATGCTTTAAATTTTTTTTTTTTTTTTGTAGAGACAGAGTCTCACTATGTTGCCCAGGCTGGTCTTGAACTCCTGGGCCCAAATGATCCTCCAGCCTCAAGCCTCTCAAAGTGCTAGAATTACAGGCATGAGCCACAGCAC